AGGGGCTCCACTTTGTTAAGATATAACCTAACCCAAACTATGTCCGAGGTGTGGAGTGGATCTCGCTTCACGTGAAAAGTCGCAAATCCATATGGAATCGTATATGTACTACAAAGCACATGCTTAGATGAGAGGACAGATATAAGATTTAGAATCCATCATTTTTATCGAAAACTGTTACTCGTATAGTAAAAATGAATAGGACATAAAATGTATATTTTAAAGAGATCTACAACTTTTGTTTAAAACATTTTTCAAAATTTTTAATATTTGTGCCGGAAAAGTACATATAATTGGTCGACATTGTTTTTTTAATAACTTTTTAACACACAACGTTCGCAGGTTAAAATCTTTTGCAGGTCACTCAGGAGGGTGACCTTTATAATATATGTCAAGCCCAAGGTTATTGGAGATGGGTGACCTAATCTAAATAATTACCAAAAGTACGTAAGTTTTGTCTGAAACATTTTTTTATTTACCTAATACTTTTTGAGATATTCAAGAGAAAATTTATAACTTTTTCAATGTTTAGCTTCTGATATCTCGTTAACTATTTGTCAGAGGGAAAAGTAGTACAGGACTTTTTTACCTGATTTGATCTCAGGAATATGCTGTTGCAATAGTGCTCCAATTATGGAAAATTTTTGTGTATTGTACCATCTACCAAATTTACATACATAAAAATTTTCAATAATTAGAGCACTATTGCGACAGCATATTCCTGAGACCAAATCAAGTAAAAAAGTCCTGTACTACTTTTCCCTCTGACAAACAGTTATCGAAATATCATAAGCTAAACATTGAAAAAGTTATAAATTTTCTCTTGAACATCTCAAAAAGTATTAGGCAAATAAAAGAATGTTTCAGACAAAACTTACGTACTTTTAACGTGGAATGCGAATCTGTTATAAAAAGTTGGGGTTCCCATTTTAGATTTTAAAGTTGTCCCCCGCCCCACCCACAGGGGTGGGGGTGGGGGGTCAAGTTTGGTATCATTCGATAGCTCTTTCAAAAATAGGAAATACGTATTTTTCCGTTTTCTGATCCACCCACAATTTCTCGGGATATTCAACCGTTCCGGGACTTTTAGACCACCCTGTATAAGCTGTAGAATTTTTGTATCGAGCAAATGTTGTCGTTAGATAATAGCACTATGATAGAAAATAACTAAAGTATATCATAATGGCAACCATGACTTCATTATAATGGTCTCAAGCGGAAAAATATTTAAATTAATAACTAATTTCAAGGAAGACTAGGTCTTGTTCTGTCTCTCCTTTTTTTAAAATCTTAACGGACGTAAATAATACTTGATCTTGCCGTTTTGATTTGATAACAAACTCATCAGTACTGACAATACGGCGATTGGTGAAACGTAAATGTTTGCGAATCTCTCGACTCTCCGTTGGAAGTTAACCAGTCAAGCGAGTAGTTAGAAATTCCATTTTGCAACCGAGCGTGGTGGACACAAATGAAACTTCGCAGACAAGTGTTATGCGGCTACGAGATACTGATACTAGCCTGACCGATCCATATCGAAATTTTTTTATGACGGTCAATATAACGAACACTCAATATCCGGCGTCCCATACTCGGCAAATAAACACATTCGTGCTTGATCGAGCGAGCTTAATGATTTAAAAATATGGTAAACTACGATTCTCGAGTACGAACGCACAGTAAAAACTTTGCGACAATGCTCGTGGATGGACAAGATAAATGTTAACATTGCAGTAATAGAACATTTAATGGAACTCACAACTATAAATTGCAATTCCTGATTGGGATAAGACGCACGAATTAAAAATTACACGTACGTAAGATTACGTAATAATTAATATAGTTACGTGACATTTTAATGACTTAGCATTCGCACGTGATTTAACTGTTCTTTCTCGGAAACCTAGAAGTTCCACCGTTATAAAGTTTCTTCGCTGGCACAATTCTTTTCTAGATGTTATCACGCGAGTCACGATGATTTATATAGATTATGCAGGGCCTACGGAGAATAAATCCTTGGCGGAGCCTTTCGGAAAGATTTTTCACGATTAGAGAAAACCGCCAGGCTATCGTTATCTCGCGCGTAGAAAATACACTCCGGCGGTTTGTAAGTTCCAAATTGAAACGTCGAGGGTCCACGGCTCGTTACGACGCCCTCCATTGTCCCCGCACCAATCCCAAATCCTTAAATCCTAGTACTTAGTGCGAAATTAAGTGCCACCTGGTACCGGGTATAAACGTGCCCACCGGAGGTCCTCGGTAAAGGCAAATGTTTGATCGGACGTTATGACCGTGCCTGGGGGAGGAATTAGGGTTAATAGAGGGTTATATCTGCCGGGTTTTTTTTTCGCAGCACACAAAAGCTCTCTATTCTCGTTGACCGACATCCGACCGACGCTACGGACAATCACGTTTTTCACGTGGACGTCTATGTCCTTTAATTAGACGCCGTTTCTGTCGAGAAGCAATTTAGAGCCGCACAAGGGCGTCGCCCAAGCACTAAAGCGACACGTATCAATCAACAATCAATAGCCAATATAGGATAGCCTCTGCGGGATATTAAATGTCTAATAGTGAGGAATTAACGTCTGATTCGGATAAATTGACAGTTGTCCTGGGAAACATCGATGCGTGTTTCGTACAGTTAACTGTTTACTAGCAAAAGTTTCAGCAGAAGCACGCTGAAAATTATACTAAATTTGTTAGATGCCTCGCCTTCTCCAATTTCTCGTCTAGGCATCCGATTTGTCGGAGGATCGAAATAACATTGTGAAACCGTTTGCGAAGAAGGGAGACCGATATATCGGACGGTAAGGAAATACTTGTGTAGCGGGTTACTTTTGAAAATTAATCACCGCTCTATGTGTGCATTAATTTGAACCATCAAGCGTGTCATTTAATTAATCCGCCTACCTTCCTGATCAACGACGTCTTTGCGACCCCCAGTACCACCGTCCTCATCTACCCCTGTCCATCCTCTCGTCAGCGTCCCCCGTTGACGGCGTCGCAACGAGTTATTTATTTAATTGGACATTAAAGCGCGAGAAAGCAATTATGAGGAACGATGAGGTGTCTCTATGTTCCCTTCGGGGAACGGTATATTTTAATTAAGAACGGCAGAGAGGGAGGGGGAGAAAAATGGGATCCCCCGTTGTTAATTTCCTCGTTTGTCGATAGAAAAGACGCGGCCACAAACACTCATTCAATATTTGATGATTCTCCGCGTTGTATCTCTGGCGCATTATACGCAATACTATTTATTACCCAATTACGGAGTTTTACTGTTTATTACAGCCGACTACAGAGCCTACCGATCTCGTATCGAGAACGCGATGTAGGAAATAAGAATAAGTTTGCGAAGAACGGACGTAAGTCTTGATGAAAGATATATTATTTATTAAATTCATAAAGTTCATAAGGCTCTCGTGCGATAAACATATTATTCGAAGGAATAAGGACTGAATAGACAGAATGTTAAATGTCTAATTCTTATTTTAAATTTATTGCGAAAAGCATTACCTCAGCCAGGATTTGAACCTGGACGTCTCTCTCTCGCTAAGCGGGCGTATCTATATTATTCATATTAATCGTAGCTCGTTTTGACGTTATGATAAACGTATAATATACCCGACCTGGTTTAATATTCATCATGGTTATCTCATTTATTATTATACACGAAACGCCCAATCTTAAATATTGGTATCCGTTTTCTTGTTTCTAGGTGAACGGACAGGACGTTTCAAATTCTAGTCACGAGGATGCCGTACGCTGTTTCCAGTCGGCTCAGGAACCAATTATTGTCGAAGTCCTTCGACGACAACCGAGTGGGCAACAGGTACCTCACACGCCCTCAAAGGAGCACGAAAGGATCACGTGTCAGGATAAGAATGAGGGGACGACGAACGGGAAGGCCGTGACAGACGAGCGAACGTGCAACGACGATGTCAAGAAAGACAATATGAGCCCCCTGGTATCGACTGCGGTGCAAACGGACTGGGCTGGTCTCATAGAGGAGGAGGAGGAGTTACTTCCAGTTCCCCTCGTCGTTGAAGAGCAAGCGAACGACAGTTTCGAGGATTTTCTCGCTCACGACATTGACTTTGAGGTAATTGTACGATTATCGAATTTAGTTTCCGATGACTCCGAAAATATATGAGACAATAATAGAGAAATTTATGCGTTTTCATAAAATGTATAAATAAGTCATAGCAGTGCCAGACTGTGTGTATGCAAAAGTGTATCTCACTCTGCCGTAATGTGTTTGTCGAGCGACGATAACGTCGGTGTGTTAACGTTGTTAACGAAGCGGGCCTTCGTGCAAACACGAGTGTATTTAGTTTCACTCAACATTGTCTACGGCGGACATTAATAATGGTTGCGAAATGCTGTAGGAGGTGACGTTGCGGAAAAGCGGGAGTGCCGAAAAGCTCGGACTGACGGTGTGCTACAGCTCTGGTTCCGGCAGCGAGGACGTCGACACCGAGGTTTATATCTCGGAAATAGTTCCTGAAAGTCTCGCGGCCCGGGACGGCCGATTGCGAGAAGGAGATCAAATTTTGCGGGTAAACATTTTTCCTCACCATCACCGTTCTCCATCCCGCGAACGCTGTCGCGACAACTGTTGGTTGCGCGATGATTCGCAGGTGACTAAAGAAAAGTAGAGAACAGTGAAATTCCTAATACGATTAACGATGGAATTTACACTTGCATCGAAAAAGAGAGATAAATTTCATTTGTAAAATTTGATATGTTCCACATTTTCCTGATAAAATATCTCATATTAACTGGATATAAATGTAGAATTGTAATTTAAACAGCGATTACCGAAAGGAAAGGATTTATTTATCAAATTCGTTGTATTTTACATGTACCTACGATATATAAAATCTAATATTTATTATAAATTTTTACTTCTGGCAAAATCGGAGGCATCGTAAAGTGTAATAATGAAACTGTCAACCAGCAGCTAGTAAATATTACATAATGGTTAACGCAGAATATAATACAGAAGATAATACAGATTAATAGGCCAAGGAAGTGCCTTGAACTCCGAAGGACAACGATAAAAATATATTGCACGTATTATTGCGCGTAGAATAAAATATACAGCACCGAGCAATGGTAAATTCTGCTAGATTTATTGTTCGAAGATCATATCGTTGATCGGGATCGTTAAATTTCGCGTCGCGGATTGCCGCAATAACCATCGCGAATTTCCTGTTGACATCTCATTATACCTGAGGGCTCCTCCTAAGCTCTGTAGCCCTCTAATTCCATTAGGCAGATTATAATTACGAGTCATGTGCTCTCCCTCTCTTGCTCTCCATCTCTCTTCTCCCTCACATAAATCAAGGGGAAATCGGACGGTAGCGGATGGATATACGATGGATTTATCGTTGTCTGTCTACCTAAGTTCCTCTAGCAATGAATTCCCGTGAACCACATTTCCTCGTCTTCGATTTAGCGACCCATTATTCGCAATGTTTATTTACCGTAAATTATCCTTGCTTGTTTAAAGAAGTTTAGAAAAGAATCAGAAATATTAAGAGTTGTATGAAATTAAAAACATGAGTTCTTTCATAAATAATGTTAACACGTGAATTTTTTGAAGTTTTTTATTAATTAGTTTTCGATAAATTATAGTAAAGTTCAAAATTTTTAAATAGTTTTATAATAGAAAATTCGATGCATATCAATTATGAATAAAAATGCTAAACTGAATAAATTGATATTTAATTTATGTATACAGAATATATGTACTAAAATCTGCAAAGATTTGAAAAATATGTTTTCTTACAATATTAACGTAACGTGGTTTCCACTCTTAAAAAAACCATTAAAGGGAAAGAAGGCCTCTTTGTATAATGAGAAATGATACTGATTTAATTGTACCTTTATCAAATCACGTTGAATTAATATTACTAATCGAGAAATTAATTGTTCTGCGTTTATTTTCCGACTATACCACTACACACGGAGAGAAAATGTTCTTTTATATAATTTACCCTGAAAATCATGTAATCGTGGAACAACATGGCATTTTGAAGAACTTTGTGAGAGTTTTTTGAGATGTTAGCATACACTTTACTAGCCAAATGTATACTAAGCATAATTACTGGTGAAATGTATGGTAAAATTTCAAATAACCCTCATAAAATTCCATCGAAATGCCGTGTTGTTCCTCGATTACATAATTTTCAAAATAAATTTTAAGAGAAAATTCTCTCCGTGTATACTTAGTGTCAAATGCGATTGCGACTTTTGCAATGCTCTAGGAAATTGTAGACATATCCTTAAATAATCACAGGAAACATCGTTTGTATGCTTTTCATTAAGAAATATAAATTATAATTTTAATTGTATCGAAATTCTCGTCTGTTTAGATAAAGAGATTTACTCTTCTGTTTTTATTCTCGCTGCGTTATTGTTGCAAGTGTAAATTCTAGAGAATGAGAAATTCGCGCTGAATCAGCTCGCGAATATTCGGGATTTCGACGGGTTTCTAAGCCGGATTTACATTCAGAGCACGGACGTTTCATTATGCATGTATATCTCTCTCGCGAGAACAGTGACTCATTTCGGAAATCAAGAAGCGACTGCATTGTTCATTGAAAGGGACCTCTTCGTTCTCGTTCCAGGTCAACGGCAAGGATGTCGCGAACAAGGAGCAGACCGAGAACTTGTTCGCGGAGACGAAAAACGCGGTGACTATTCTCGTCAGCCGATGTGTATACCAAGTTCGTTTTCATTCTTATTATTACAATGTTCGAACTGGCTGCGAGCTGAGCTTAAAAATATGTTAAATCAAAAGTACCACGGAAATGTAATGGAGATTAGAAAACATTCTATATAATCTTAGCTCCTTCTTGAGAAATAGATTTATCATTTATATAATATAGAATAATTACTATAACTTTAGATAAAAAAATAATTGCAATTTTCTTAAATAAAAAGTACACAAAATACGATTTTTACATGTTATCAATCAATTTGTTCTTTCTATTTCAGGACGATGAATATGATGACAGGCGCATCTATCATCAGGTAAGTCGAATTACGTAAAGCGAGAAAAACGCATTCGACGTTTGCGCGCGGTATAGATATCGCTATCTATCATGAACCATGATTCCGCTTCAGGGTTCGCCGCCGCTTTCGCCCGAGAACCTGCCAGCGTATCAGAACAGCATGATCGAGCAGCTGATCCGTCAACAGCAGCAGCAAACGGAGGAGCGTACCAAAGAGAGCGAGGTAAACAACTGCACCCTGAAAGCTCCTCCGCCCATACCATCTCACACTCAACAGCAGCAGCAGCAGCAGCAGCAGCAGCAGCAACAACAGCAGCAGCAGCAGCAGCAACCGCAGCAGCAACCGCAGCAACAACCGCAGCAACAGCAGCAGCCACCGCCGCCTCCGCCACCACAGCAGCAGCAGCAGCAATCTATCAATATCTATTCCACAAACTTGTCGTCCACATGCTCATTGCAGAACTCACACAAACCCGGCAAGAACGCGACCTCGCCGGCGCATCATACGGAAGAGCGCAACAAACAGTGGATGCAAGAATCGCTCAAGGATTGTTCAAAGAGGCTCGAGGGCATATCTTTACGCGGCCAGCAATCCGGCTCGCTAGCAGCGACACCGTCATCGGTGAAGCTCATCGAGGCCTATGCGAGCCACGTGTGGAGCGACACCGAGCACATCTACGAGACGATACCAGAATCGGACAGCGAGCCGATCTACTCGTCGCCGTACGAGCATCATCAGCAGCACTGGGCGCAGCAGGCGAACCACGTGGCCGTCGCGACCACGCAGTTGCAGCACGGCACCGCACAAAACCACTCGGCCGGCTGCGGTCAGCAGAATCACAAATGGCACTCCTCGTCAAAAAGCAACAGCTCCGGCGAAGAGAAGGATAGTTCTAGCGCTTACAACACCGGCGAGTCCTGTCACAGCAATCCCCTGACTTTGGAGCTGCATCAGGGCGAGAGAGATCATCATAAGAGCACGCTGGTATTGTGTCCTCCGCCGAAGACGCCGCAACAGCAGCAGCAGCAGCAGAAGCAGCAGCTCGGTTGCAACTGCCCCATGCCAGTGACGCCGACCGCGACGTCCGCGCTGACAAGACAATCGTCCAAGAACCAGAGCGTGAAGAAGGGCGCGTCGTCGTCGCATCATCACAGAGATCGCAACGAATCTTCGTCGATCAACGCCAACACGCTACCGGCTGACACTATGTACACGAACGTGGCGAATTTGCAACAGACAATGATGCTGCAACAGCAGCTGTTCAAACAGGCGCTCAACCGCAAGAACCTCACGACATCCAGGGAGACGTCCACGGGCGGCGCGAGGAAATCCAAGTCGCACGGCAACTTCCAGGCGCCAAATCTCACGCAGTACCAGTTTGTCGGCAGTCAACAGGTGTGCACGTCCACCACGTGGATACCGCCAGAGGACAAGAGCGAGGTGCAGATGGAATGGAAGGTGAAGAGGCGGGCGGACGGGACGAGGTACATCGCCAGGCGGCCCGTAAGGAATCGGATACTTCGAAATCGGGCGATCAAGATAACCGAAGAAAGAGCCGGTCACACCACCGAGGACGATACCATGTCGGAGATGAAGGTGAGAGTCAATTGATAACGATCGTCTCTCCCCGGGCCAGAGTTTAAAAGAGACCTTAAAGCAACTTTTATCTCTTGGAGTTTTGCATTCAAGATTCAAGACAATCGACGCATCAAATAGAAATTTACGAAATATTATAGCATCTTGAGAGAGAAAGCTAAAAAGGAATCGAATATCTGTTGAAGAATAATGTTGATTACGAATTAATTAAAATTTCCTTTTTCAGCGAACGTAAAGAGTAATATTAACATGTGTGTATCCAAAATTATTTTCGTTCTGACTTTGGATTGCTTTCGCCGAGTCGGTGTATTTATTTGTACATTATTATTTCCCAGGTCGGACGCTATTGGAGCAAAGAGGAGCGCAAGCGGCAGCTGGAACGCGCGCGCGAGCGCAAGCAACGTCAGCAAGAGCTGATGCTGCAGCAACAACAGCAGCAGATGCAACAGCCCAATGACTTGCTGATATGCGAGCACACGGAAGACAAAGTGTCGAAGAAGCCGTTGAACATCGTCGAACTAAGCCACAAGAAGATGGCGCGTAAAAAAACGACTCTGGACGATTTCACCACTGTGCAAGAAATGCTGGTTCACGGAAACAGGGTGGGCACAGGTGGACCTGGCACGGGGGGAAAATTAATGGGTTTACTGTCGGTTACCACGGTGTAAGCTGATCCGCGTACATCGACGTTCGGCCAAGCTGACCGATATCGTTACACGGATATCGGAGTCCGAGGTAAACGTGAGGGTATTTTGCGGACGCGATTATCGAGTGACTTTTATACCGCGCAGGGAAAGCCTGAACTACTTTGCGCGGCTTAACACTCTCGAATTCTTTTATACCAGCCTCTCGCCCGCAAACATGTGCCTCGCGCGGAGGTAACGTCGTAAAGTTGGAAAAGAAATCTAGCGTTCGTCTGAATAGTCCATACAAAACTACTTGCTTGATATATATATATATATATGTATGTATGTGTGTGTACATATGTATATACATATACATGATTCAAGCGCACGAACTTGACTTGGTAATATATTACATTGCAGAATAGCTTTTGTTATACGTGGCAAGTTTTTCCAGTCAGAAATGACCCGTCGACGTCGAAATCGTCATATTGACGATATCGATTCGACATCGTCTCGACGAGCCATTTCCGACTGTGTTTGTACACGCGATATTCGATCCGGTCAAAATATCCGAGTATGGAATAACTTAATTTTGAGACGGCCATACAGGGAAAACACAATCGGACCGTTTATAGTTTGCTGAATGAACGCGGACGTTGAGACATCATTGGAGCATTTCGCGATTCCATGATAAAAAGACACGCCAGTCTGCAATAAAGCGAGAGGAGCTTAAATTGTCGCTGTTGCATGTAAACACGTGTGTGAAGTTTGTACGTTTTAATCAATCTTGTAAATAATTACGGCACGATAACACATACATAGGTTTTACATACAAGACGAGAAATGTTCTATGGGCAAAGATCGGTGATTATAGGTATGTAGATATGTATAATAAGCGATAAGTGTTAACGTGACACGCATCAATATCCATTTTGCTTTCTGCATTATGATAGAGATCGCGGCAGGGTACTGTATATCCGGAGGACCATCGCCTTAACGTCGATTCCACGGCGTATTTATTTTCATGGACATCGAACGGTATTCCATATTTAAAGAAAAATATAATATGACGACGAAAGCAACGCTGCTTTTTTCATGTGCAAAAACATTACCGTACTTTAACAAATGATATCGTACATCGCGCAATTTTTACACCGTTTTTAAAGCGTTCTGCAGAACAGATGTGCAAAAGATACGCTTGAAGAAATCTGGGACAGCCTGTATAAGTGTAAATTGTCTTATTCTATAGCTCGTATGTACCGAGTCGATTATTACCTTTTGTTCCTGCCTCCCAGAAAAAATAATCGAATACTAGGATCCTGTACTGCCAATGTCTATATATAATACTGCCCTGTAACTCTATATATTTTAAAGTACACGCGTATATGGGGAAAGAGAAAGTGTGAATCAAGTGTGACGCCTCGATAGATCAATTATCACGTACTTCCTGACGAGAATTTACCGCGTAAGTTGTATGATACGTTCTGGGAATGACATTAGATATGAGATATATCGTTGTAGAAAATATATTGTACGATTTAGATTTAAGCACATAAGCGACCGTGCGTACGTATGCTGTCTTTTGTATGTAGATGCGACATAATGATTCTAAACATGTGTAATGTAAATAAGACCCAAATAAAATATAGCATTAATATATGCAACGGGGCGGCAACGAATTAATGCACTTGCGTCACAATCCCCCTAGGACAAGTGCAAGAGAACAATTGGCCTGACAAAATTCGACTCCGATTCGAGGAAGATACGAAAATACGACGAGGTGTAAAACTGACCAGGTATAAAAAAATGACTGTTCGTTTATTATGAAATTCAAAAATTGTTTCGATCATCTGTCCTATTACATGAGCGCATTGATATTTATGTTATTCAAGACTTTTAGTTCTGGCACATTCAGGTGTTGGATATACATGCGGAAGCAATGATGAGTGGAGAAGTTCAGCAGAAAATCACGTAGATACTGGCCGAGGTTCAAATGGTAGATGGAGTCTCGCAGTAATTCTGGATCGTCCTCGTCATCATTATCTTCATCTCCAAATTCTACAAGGGAATCGCATTCTCTTATTAACAACGTTACATAATTTATAGGCCGTTTATATGAGACTTACGTAAAACATTTCCACTGTCACTTCCGGGATCTATCAATTCTTCATCATCCTGTTCCTCGTCCTCGTCGTCGGAAACCTAGATGTTGACGACGGAGTTGTTTTAATCGAGTAAAATGAAAAATATTTTGACGAAGTAAAATAAAATTTAGAAAGGTTTTAGGTAGGAATGCGCAGGCCAATACTTACTTCCGTATCTTGGCTGGCGCTAACGACTTCGATGTCGTTGGACAATTCGTTGATTATTACTTTAAAAACCTTTACAAGTACAGGCACCGTAGTCCATTCGTAAGGCTGCGATTCGGCTTTGCTCCTGGTCCTCACACCATCTTCGATTCCTATATATTCCCGAATTATAACTCGCTATTTTGAGAAACACACAAATGTTCTTCGTAGAGCAATGTAGCAATAATCTTATGCAATCGTCACAGTGAGAGTACCAATGTAAAGAATAACATTATGTACAATTTTATATTCGCGAGCAAGAGTTGACTTGATCGTGTCTAATTACCGCGACTGTTTGTATGTAACCAAAATGGTCTGAGAACGTGACAAACCTGAGATGATCATATCCCCCTTAACTGTGATCTCGTCCAACCTGCTGTCCCCGTGAGTGACCCCGTATTCCAGGATCTTGCACAATGCGATCGTCCCGACCTTGCGATCGTATCTACCGAGAAACAGGTGCTGCCTGCTGACCCACTCGGACAGTACAAACGCGAGCGCGCTCTGGCCCGTCGGCCCGGGCACGGTCGACAGGAAGTTCAGCACGGCGTCAAATTGCGTATTTATAAGATGCGCGTAAATCATTAGCAGGCTTTGCATCACGATCAATGTTTCCGCGCTCTGCATCTTGCTCAGCACTGCTTTCAACAGCAGATCGAGGTTCTCGCCTAGACTATCCCCTACGTTCTTGATGAGCGTCGTGACCAATCGTCCAACAAAAGTGGCAGTGAATTCGCTAGACTGAAATTACACGCCCACAATCAGCTTCCGGCAAAAGTGCTGAATTTCCTGTTAAATTAAACGAGTCGGCAGTGTTACCTGCGGATTTAGGAGCTGAGCGATTATCTGCAGTATGTATTGTAACCCGGTTTGCCCTTCGTTATCTCGATGCGCGATGACCTGCTGCGCTGCCACCGATACATACGTGCGTACGAGTTCCCCGCCGCTCTGCAACGTCGCGTGATCTTCCGAGTTGAGAATGCAGTGGCAGGCAGTCGGAAAGGCAGTCTCCACCAAAGCGTTACTCAAAGGCGTCGGTGAATACTGTACCAGAACTTTGAGCACGTCTAACGATACAGCTCGAGATCCCTCTGACGAGAAGAACAAGGGGTTATTACTAGTGATAACGGTTAAAGCGATTAAATTTAACGGGGGGGAAAGAAAGAGAAAAACGGCGTACCATCCTTCGATTTGTTCATAGGAGTTATCGCCAGCATACTCGTTAGAGTCGGTATTATACGAGTTTGCAGCGGCTCGATGCAGCTCGGATTCTGCGTCAAGTCCTTAAATATATCCTGGCATATATCTAAGATCGCCGGGTCGTTATGAAACTTGACAAATACTGCAATTGTCAAGGGACAAATCTTGTTCTCCACTGACGCTGTAAACTCTTTATGTTGCTAGAAACACAAATGAGATCGAAATAGCTTAAATAACGGAAAAAATGCGTCGTAATAAAAATGTATGCGCGATAGGAGAGCGTCAAAGTTACCCAGATTAGCGTTTGAAATGTCTCCATGACCAAAATTAGAACGTCCGTGCTAGGTTGGCTAACCAGACTGAACAATCCTTGAAAAATGTTGGGCATGTGACAACGTATTATGTTGACGATAGAATCCTTGCCAGTCGACGCCTCGCTGAACCAATAGATCGCCTTGACGGCACTGATGCGTATACAAGGCGGTTGATTCTCCTGTAAACCGTTTACCGTCGCTTCCAGAAATCGGGAACTCACTTCTGGAGGCATTATCTTGGCGTATCGTCCACCGAGACACAAGCAACGGCCGAGAAGTAACGGCGGCGACCCTGAAGTAATGAAACGATTTAATATGCATAGAAATCGAAACGACGTCATTGTCATATGTGTATGTACGCGATTAATTACCCGAATCATTCAACATTCCCAAAACGACTGTATCTAGAAACCTAATGATATCGAACTGCAACAGCCCAGCCTGCTGTTTTTCAATAACAATGTTCTTAGAAAGGCTCAATGCTAAAAGAGAGGATTCCCGTAATTTCCACCAGCTCTCGTTGCTGTTGCTACCATCGCCGTTAGCTTGTAGCGCCTTTGTAGCTTCAATATGTCGCGTAACCACGTCGCAAAGAGCATGCACAGCTTTGTCCTCAAAATGGTTGATAAGAATCTGCAGATGGCAAAGTGTTATTTTCACGAAAGTGCATAATGCGACGAGTTTCGATCGTTGCTTTCATTATTGTTTCACCGTTAAAAATTCTTGCGCTGAAATTCGAACGTTGTAATCGAAAGTGCACTCGTCCTCCTCGACAAACTGATTCGGATTGGTTGTCCATTGCTGAATTTGCTCGACCGTTATTTGCATAAATATTATTAAGTAATATATGATCTCCGGTAGCATGTTATCCAGCAGATTCGTAAACCTCTTCCGATCCACGATAGTTTGGACAAACTCGAAGATGGCGACAATCAGACTGTTGGAATTGATTATTTCGCCTGGGGGGAGGAAAATTGATATATTTGTAGGAAAAAAATATTGTACTCGTTAGACAAATAACCGTACCGTCAGAATCAATTTTTCTATCGTTGATATCCTCATCGACGTTGACCGTCGTCTCCTGATAAGTCTTTGCACTTTGACACAAAGTTTCCCATATGGGTGGCAGCATTTGAGGTAAAAGATCCGATATATATTTGGGCAATTTGATAACAAGACAGTTTATAGCTTTAATAATATCAGTTTTGAATCCACAGTCACTAGTTTGGTCGTTAGGCACTCTGAGGCACTCGACGAACTTTTCACAGAACATAGGAACGATTGGCTGCAGATACTGCTCTATAAATCCCTTCTCGTACACTCCCGTATGAGCAACCAGGGTTGTAATCGTAACGAAGATCTCGACCGCACAACCGCGCGTTCTAATCGAATACTGCTGCAAGAAACACAAGTCTAGAAAACGTGGCGAGAGAATATATCAAGGGGGAATGTATATGGAGGACATCTCGACCCTCTACTAAATTTACATTTTCACTTTGGAATATCCTATACATCTCTTGAAGAATAACAGGTCCCACATTGGGCAGCTGGGCGTCCGTCAGATCCCGGCTGAATTCTGTCAGCACTCTCATCGCTCCGTGAACAGCGCACTCGCTCTCCTCCCTCAAGCAGCTCACGAGAACGTCGAACAGCCCGGGCCAGTTCTCGGGCCAATCCCAGTGCGCTATACCGGATATCGCGTACGCCACCGCAGTTCGTACCTGAGCAAGATAGCGTGTTTGGTGGGCAAAATATTGCATGCGGTGTGCAACGGAATACGGACGAATTGTCGAGAAATTACCTTGCTGATGGACTCCCGCAGTCCCAGGGGAAGCAATTCCTTGATCCTCTCTTTAACGGCATTGTTGAGCTCCGGCGGGCGGAACTTCTCGGCCAAGGAGCACCAGTGCGTCTCGACGTACTGCTTGAGCAGAACGGAGGCCAGCTGCCTGATGGACAAGTGGCCGTTGGGATCGACTACGAATTCCGTCAGGTGTATACCGAACTCCTCCGTCACCTCGAGAGCTTGAATTCTCTGCTCCGCCGCCTTGCGCGTCTCGTAATGCGGCGACAAGATGCCAGTTAACGTCTCATACAGAGCTTCCTTCAAGGAGCCTTGTACGTCGCTAGCGGTCATTGTGCAAAACAAGGGCTGGCTTACCGGCCAGCATCTGCGAGACGAGTGGTAGTCCTCGAAAACGGGATTACTCGACCGCCCGTAGTTTACGTACGTGTCCGTCAAGTGTTTTTCAAATTACAGAGCGTTATCGATCGTCCCGCTTGCGTGTCCGGCTCCTCACAAACTGACGACAACATCTGACATCTCGGAGTGTCCGCGCGCGATCGGAGACCGAACGGCCTGGAACGGGCGAGTGGTTTAAATGACGGGGATAAAATGGACGTTGGCCGTCGCGCGACGTACGCGTCGTCACATCGCCCACACTCGTGGCGTCCGGGGCAGCTTGGAGATCCGCGCCAACGGCTGCCTCTCGTCTCGAACCAGCTCGAACCGCCGTCGGCTCGATAGCACGAAATTCCGTATTACACGCGGCCGACTGCTTTCATTTCGGTTCGATGCGACCCGAGTGCGGGCTCGCGATCCTCGCGAACGCGCGCGCGAGCGACGTCGCGACGTGCGAGCGAGTGGGCGCACGTTCGATTGCGCTTATAACCCCCGCACGCGCCGACCGGTGGTGCGCGGACGAACGTTGAGAATTTTCTGAAAGCCGGTTCGACAAATTGGTTAGATCCCGCGTTCATCCCGCGTGAGATGCGCAATCCCGTGCGCGATTGCGGAAAACGCCTCGAGACGATCCTGTCATCTGGCGACAAGCTGCGAAAACCGTTGTGTCTGCTGAACGCGGCCAATGGCATTTGTTTACCAGAAGCCTCAGTTATACCTGCTGCCAACAGAGGGACGCGGGACCTTCTTCTTCTCTTAGTTCGTGGTGAACGTCCGGTACGTTTTTGCGGTGGCAGATTTCTCTACTTAATAATAAAAATTTAATACACGTAATTGTTCTTTCGCATAAATAATAGAAGCATTTTGCGTAGCGTTTCGTCAAGTTATCGTCATAATTGCTCGCTTCGTCATATTTTACTCGGGTCTCAGCGATTCCAGCGGATTACCGCGACCCGTTTCACGCGGCATTCTTAGCGTCCGCGGCGTGACAACGAAACGTGCGATACAGTAAATCGTGTATCGAGCACGCTCGCTAATCGTCGTGCTTCAGAAATATTCAGTTTTTTTTCACGTGTGCTTGGCGAAGTTTAACAAGTATTGTCTCCCTCGCCGTTTCTGTTTCGTACATAACCTCAAAGTTCCGCTATCTAACTTTTGACGTACATGTGTGGACCGTGGTAGAATAATTTTTCTTATTTCCCCCCTCTTTTATCTCGTTTGTAAAATGCTTGTTCGAATATCGTCGCGTCAATGCTCTTATTATGCCGTTTACGTTGTTATTAGAAAATGACGAGCAAGGCAAAAGCGCCCAAGACGAAAGAAGGCGCTCCTGAGGAAACGCCGCTGAGAAAGAGGCCTTTCAAGCGACACGGGCGACTGTACGCAAAGGCGATTTTCACCGGCTACAAGCGCGGTTTGCGTAATCAGCACGAGCATACAGCCTTGCTTAAAATTGAGGGAGCTGGTACAAAGAAAGACTCGGATTTCTACGTAGGAAAACGATGCGTTTATGTATATAAGGTGAGGCTTGTATAAAATGACTAAAGAGGAGTAACAAATCGAATTAATTTAGGTGACAAACGTGTAAAAGATCTCTTCAAGACTGCATCGCCAAAGTTTCCCTTGCTTTTTTTTCCAATACCTTCGTAGAACTTGGGCGAAGTGTCGATTTATCACTGATTCATATACAGTTATTTAGTGAAACTATTCGTAGTCGGTGGATTCTTTCTTATATGAAATTGTTTCAGGCCAAGAACAAGACTCCGGTACCCGGGAAGACTACGAAGAAAACAAAGGTTAGAGCCATCTGGGGCAAAGTCACCCGTCCCCATGGCGCAAGTGGGTCGGTGCGCGCTAAGTTTAAGAGGAATCTACCGGCCAAGGCCATGGGTCGCCGCATCAGAATTGTAAGTGGGAGAGTTTGCGTTGTGGTTGCTTTATATAATTATTTATTCCGCTTAATTTTACGTCTGCCTGCAAACTTGACTATGCCATTTTCTGTGCGCTCTATTTTACACGATAATTTTAATCAGCAGAAATGTTTAATTCAGACCGTTTTATGTTTCAGATGCTGTATCCCAGTCGGATATAGATCTTGTATAATATAAACAAATAAATACCATTTTGGTACTAAAATCCATTGGTTCTGTGCACATAAAGTGTGTCGTTGATTGAAAATTCTACTCGTGGCGATCATGCTGGATCTGTAAAATACGGGTCTACCCAAATGCCAAGTTGCGACTCGACAAACGTCACTGAGGAGTGTATTCCATAATACCTTCGCTCGTAGCTTTTTCTCTTGCTCCATAATTTTCTTCGCAAGATTCTCTATAGGTGAAACATCGTCAACTTTATAGCGAATTCGATTGCTTGCGCTAGTGCGCACTGCGTGCACACTAAGGCCTCTTTATAGTCAATATTTTTACGTTTAGCTTCGTCTTGAATACATATTTTACTGGCTACGAAATATTTCAAGAGATATTTAAGACTATCCTTAAATATAAGAATTGACTGGAAGCGAGCCGTTTCTCGCATGTTGCGTCATTTATTCTTATCTGCCCAGTGTTAAAGAAAAATAAATAATGCATTATGCACGTCACGCGTGAAACGGAACGCACCCTTAGGGCCTGAGCCAGAGTGGCTGTCTTGTGTTCTTAAGTTACAAGACTGTTATTGTGCGTCACTTTAAATTATATATAATACTTTAAGGCAAAGATTTAAAGCATAAAACATTGCCCTCGGTGCGCACTAGTGCAAGCAACCGAATTCGCTATTAGTGCCATTCGGCGTTCTTGCTCCGCAATGCCGCATAGATGCAGTGTTGCAGAGCATTTTTGTAAAATATTCACGTAGATACTTTTCTCATTAAAGCGACGCTACTTTAGTTCCAAGTTTTTTTTTTATACGTACAGAGTAAAATTAAACAGACAAGACTTTGTCTTCGTATTTATTTGACTAGAAATCGCTCGGGTGTGAGCGTGTGTGTACATGCGCGGGGCATTTTATTTGTTTAGCGCCATTTACGTTACAAGCCTGACCTAACTTAACGTGCTCTAACCTCGAAACGCAAATTCCGCGTCAAACCGTGTTTCGGAGCGTCCTGGAGGAAGCATTTTTCGCCGTTAAACGCGAGGAAGGGTCGCGGAACGATGAGACCTCGCGCGACAAGTGCCCGTCGAGACGATTCACGCTGATCGCGGTATCTCGGAGAGGAAGCCATTTTCGTAGCGGCCTATGCGTAGGTTTGAGTAGCGGCTCGGGTTGACGCCAGTCGTGCGTGGGTGCGTGGTCGTTTACGTATGGCCTGCGTGTAGCTCGGCGAGCGGAGGAAGGGTCAGGTCGTCCTGAAGAAGAGGAGTCGTTTCCCGTCGCGCGGCTCACGATGTCGCGCTCTTAAGCGATTCTGTAAAACGTGAAACCCTCCCACGATCGCGGACGATGTTCTGCTGCCTGAGAAACTGCTTCGATGGCCTCGGTTTCGCCGCGACTCAAGCACCGAAGCGGGAACGAAACCCCATCACCTTGGACACGACTCGCATGGGTAAACTGTCGGCTCGATTAATTCGCGCGACACGTACCCACGCGGGGAAAACGCGTCACACGTCGCCTAATTTGCATCGCTTCCTCTACAATTTCTTCTCTTTCGAGATAATCTCCGTAGAGTCTTTTGAAATCGTTTCCGCAATTGTTAAAGGCCTTGCTGTTGAAGGTTACCGTTAAAAGCACATTTTATGTACTTGTGTTCCAATGTTTAACGACTTACTGGTTTCTGAGCACATGTCAGGCACTGCGTTAAAAGATAAAAGTTAATTCTGTAACAGCAAAAGCTCCAGGAATACGTATACGCAATGCCTGATAAACTAGCACGTCTTTTAGACACTTGTGAATCTGAGGGACTTTTTACATAATTTATATGTAGATACAATGTATATAAAGATGTACCTTGACAAGAAGATGCAGTTAACAATCCTGGCACTGTCTTATTGCAGGAAATGAGGTAGTGATAGTGAAAAATGGTCTGAGGATATGCGGATGCGGTGGTGCCTTGACGAACGCCCCTCTCGTTCAGAGTAAAAGTTATTTTGAGGTGAAGATACAGCAGGGCGGTATATGGGGCATTGGGCTGGCCAGGAGGGACACGGATCTCAATGTCGCAGTAGGAGGGAAGGACTCGGAGAGCTGGGCGCTTGATTCCGATGGTATCATAAGGCACAACGAACAAGAGCTTCACAAGATTCAAAATCCTGTCCAGGAGGGGGACGTCATTGTACGTATATCGCGTTCGTGCTCTCAAGACTTTTATCGCAGTTTCATCTGAATAATGGAAAAAAAATGTTTTCAGGGAGTATCGTACGACCATATAGAGTTGAACTTTTATTTGAACGGCGAATCCATGAATGCTCCAGTTATAGGTGTTAAAGGACGGATTTATCCAGTGTTATACGGTATTTATTGTTCTAGTGAATAAATAACATGTCCGTGTATGACACACAATCGACTTTTATGTATAATCTGTATTATTTTAACTTTCAGTGGATGACGGGGCCATCCTGGACTTAATCCTAGAGAACTTTATTCATGCTCCACCAATGGGCTTTGAGAAAATAATGCTGGAACAATCGTTGCTCTAGCAAAGTGATATGAACAGAAGTAAAACGGTAATTGTATTGTCAAAATTGACATTCCTCGTCCACTTGGAGTTTCGTTATACATTGAGCCAAGTTAAACGTTGAGGTTGAACGTTAAGCTAAGAATAATACAAACTGTAAACAGGGAGCTGCGATAGCATAGTATTAAAAAACGGTGTCACAAACGTCTATCATAACAATTGCATGATAATACATATTTAATCGAGATGCGGAATAAACAACTTGCCTAACGATGTGAGAGTCTATTTTTCGATCTATTCTCTACAGAACGAAGATTCGTAATAAGTATAGATTTTACATAAGTAACTGAGAGAATTCTTTAGAGATTTATTAAAATTAAAAGGTTTACAACGTTAAAATCGTTCAAATGGGTTAAATTTAGCTCTACTCCAATCCGATGTCTATCTTACAATAACTATATATACCTTTGTTTGTATAATTGTATAATAATAGATGTAATCATAAATATGTGTGTACAATTTGTGTAATATATATATGTCTGTATATGTATGCATTGTATACATAATGATTTATTGAACCTTAAATGACTAATGGTATGATATATACACTGGCTTAAATAAGGTACCAACGGCTTTAGGCCTATATTGTTCGCTTTGTTAGGCTAATGTCATGGCATCTCGTTAGCTATCTCTTTTTATAGTTCCTTTCTCTCGCTATAAATATCGTATTAAACATTAAAGCTAATGTTTCAACCTTCCTAACGTATCGAAAACTTGCGTTTCTTTTTACATCATCATCAGTCGTACAAACGTTTGAACGATTCAATTGTGTATATAAAGAAATACATCTTTCAAATATATATGTACTGAGATCATGCATATACATCCGACTTACAAAATTCTAAAATTCAAAACTCTACAGTCGAAAATAAGCCGCGCGCTACCGCATATAATATAATCAAATATTTTCAATAGATCGTTTCCTTTTTATCCGATATATAAGAATCAATCACAGTTAGATAAACGCCCTCAATTGTGATATGAAAATGATAGCTAAAAGGACAAATGTTAAAGTAACTGTTGGCGCTTATCGTTGACATAATGAGCTTTTTTTTATCTAACGATGTGTATAAAAAGTTTCTTACAATTGTTTGTGCTGCAAGCTTTCTCAATACTTGCTGAAACATATCAAATCTTTGGTCCTTAATATTAGTTCTAAACAATTATTAATATCAATAATGTCACACGCTTAACATTATGCTATTATTTATGCTTTATAAATAGGTCATTTCGATTGAAACAATGTAATTTTTAAATTATCTTATATTATTTGCCATAATATTGAAGTCTCTCTATTATTGTAATGAATGTAACGTAACAATTTATTTTTAGCAGTTAATTTCTTTTAAAAACAGGATTTTTATGGCACTCTGTTTCCTATATAACTTACTAGATACGTATGTATTGTATTCATTCGAAAGACCATCATTACATCCTGAAGAGAGCCTTTGTCATCTATTATTACCTAATTATTATTTGCTACATAACTCTAATAGCTAGCGTCATATTTGTTTTATGGCTGGATGATATGAAATATTTATAATGGTAACCCACATCGCAGTCGCCTTATTGCACCTTCATTGCATATACGTAGTTTTCAGTACGAATCACGTTAAAGTAACATGACTAATTGTAACATACAAATAATGATTATTTAATTATACTGTTGTTTAATTAAACTATGTATAGGCCTGCGATAAAATGATTTAAATAATTTGATATGAAAGAAATGTATGTGAGGATTTCCGATTTACGATCTAATCATCTAAATGTTGAACACTTTGTAGAGTAAAGTAATATTACAATTACTGAACAGTATAACATTCTATAAGGGCCAGTCAAATGAAAGTAAGCCAAAGAGATTAATTGTAATTTTCGCATATGGAATATATTACTTTCCAAACTTCCAGTAGCGATTGCAAAAAGGGATATCTAATGAGCCGAAGATTTGATTAAAATCTTCGGTTTTTATGCGATCACCTCTCGGACGGCAATGGCAAACCGAACGTATATCTTACCATGAGCACTAAGAAAGATGTTCAGAATCGGCATTGCATCTCAGAAAAGGACGATATAAATATAGGCAGACCTAGAAAGAGATGAACAACATAAAAAAAAGAATGGAATAGTTTGTAAAACCAGCCAGACTTCTATGAGGATTAAATCAGACTCGTTATCCAACTGGACCAATGCCTCGATGCTGGCATAGATAAAGGTAAGATTTTCCGGAATAATTTCTTTGATTCACTTTCACTTATACTAGTCCTTATACATTGTACAAATTAACCGAATGTAGGGCCGTTAATAATCACTCGAGCAATGTACAAAGCAACAATCGAAAATGGACATCTTTTCTTCCATTTTCCAACATACCCATCGGAAACATACGTATACATCGATTAACATATGGCTTACAGTGTATTCTAACACTGTTTATGTAAATTGGAACAGATTGAATAAAAACAAATATCTGTATAGAGCAAATATCTTATAGAAAAAAACATATATGAATTAACAAACTGATAAAGACGTATATACAAAGTAATGTTAGAAAAAACATTTGGCGCATATGGCAATAATTTGCAGACATAGTCATAAATGTAAAAAAATTAGCAACTTTACGACTATCTGTAATTATAATCAAAGATATGTTACATATGGAAGAACTTTTATCAAATTTACGAGCATGATAGATAAATCCTTTATTCGAGAGTTTCTTCTATTCCAAGTCACATCTTGTTATATTGTCCTTTAAACTAGAATTCGTCTCTTGTGCTGCTGTCTTAATATTCTTATGCTTTACTAAATGGCCGAGTTAGAAAGCAAGAAAGCGAGTGAAAGACACAGTGCACAACGACATTCTGATTAAGCGCATCTGTTATTAAAACAGTATTATAAAAGTGGGTATAGAGAGGGGAAATCATTAAATAGAGAAAATGCTCGGTCCCGATGATCTTAGAAAAAATCAACTATTGCATAATAACTTTTATGCATTTAGCTGTTGTCAGGATACTGTCAAGTTCATCACATTAAGGTTCTCGAACCTTTCTTTGGTCTTATCCAAGTACATTTCTATGCTTTTGGTAAATTTTACGCAGATAAGTATATGGTGATTTTTACATAAAGTGTATTCTGTTTCAAGGGCACTTCCCTGAGACGCTCAGATCCATAATGCTTGGTATCGAATACAGAGCGTCGAGGATTGCTTAATAATGTACTCACACATCATTCGTTATCCGTAGTATCTTCAATGACAGAATCCCAATTAAATTCTGTGGCACTTTGCCTTGATGGCAATTCACCAAGGTGTTGAAATCGTTGTACAAAATGTGGATCACGATCTCTAAGCCGTTTAAATCTTTGAAAAGCAAGATTCTTTGCAAATTCGTACAGTTCTAGGTCCAGACTGTTGAGTTTACGTACAGCCTCCAATTGTTCTGCGTTGAGAGTTGCCATGGTAGCTGCACTAAGTGTGGCGTTATGTTGTTCGAACGCAACTGCAAATCGCATTTTGAACGTTTCCTCGAAGGTGTACTGCCCCACCTGACACGTAAATTCAGTTTAGCATTAGTATACATGTCAAGTAAGAAATAAGGAGACAACATTATAAAATTAGATAATTATCAATTTTGACAATGTCCATCATTTTTTCATTGTCATTGATTTGTATGAAAATACAAATTTACTTTATATTGTACATTATGCAAAATTCTTCTAATGCAAATATTAATTCAAAGAAACATAACAATAATTTAACAAAAACTTGAACTTCTGCACATGGGCAATTAAATGTTTTTCCGTTATTAAATGAACAAGAGATCAAGGTTAACAGCATCAACTTGCTAATAACAAGTCATAAGATTAAGAAAAAAAAAGGTAGCTCTGATATACGAATTATGAGACAAGAAACTTGACGCACATAACAAAAAATGCATTATTACCCAAATAAAAAAAGTAGGAGGAGCACACATACAGGCAGCGCTTCATTTCAGCATATTTTTATACTTTCTAAGTGTGACACAATATGGAATTAATTATAGAGACGAGAAGTTTTTCTTAATATTTGTCACATGTACTTAACGTAGAACATTAATAATAAAAAGCAAGACTTTAAGAGCAGTAATGGGTGGTGGTCATGGAATAAGCTTATTGCTTCCAGATGTTATTGGAAGGGGAACTCTCATAAATATTTACGTTAAGACGTCTATTCTTAAACAGTCAAGCTGGGAACGTGACGTATAAGGATAACAACTTTATTCAGCTTAAAATATTTGTAAAAAGATTCATATTTAGCAGCGTGCTACATTTGCCACTGTTTTCTGTAAGGCATATAGGAACAGCTACTTGTCACAATTTGTAAAGATTTTGCGCAATCGTCAAGTTTTGGCAAGGTTAGCAGCCTACCGAAGATGAAGTAAAACCAAATGCTCAAAGTACCAGAACGGACTGGATATAACTTTATCTCATCCCCCACAAAGAATATAATTCTATTTTGCCTTCAGTTTTTGTTGTAGCACCGCACATTATAACCATGCCAGAATTTATGACGTTTTGACCCTCAATCATATTCCTGGATGTTGGCGGTGCATTCGTGTATTTACATAATTCATCTAAGCGCAACATCAACATTTTCTTCGATTTTAATTTGCTTAAGAAACCTGTTAAACAACTTGCCTCTATATGTCAAAAACGCGCCGTGTAGCAGGCACAATAAATTTCTAGTAACGGTAATAATAATAATGATACCAAGAAAAATAAACTGCGAGCGATATTCAAGTTTGTCACATACCTTCTGATACTCGGTCAGCATGAAGAAAGGCATGAATTGTAAGTTGTGTTTAGCACTGGCCAACATTAGACGGTCTCTATCAGTTTTGCTGAGACTAGAGTTGTAACAGCCAACCATCGATAGATCCGCCAGCATTCTCGTTTGACGGTTTCTCGCCAAATTGTAAGGGCATTCCATAAACTAAAATTTCAAATTCCATCAACTGTACAGATATAGCGATCTCGTAATTAAACCAAGTTTCCTAAGCTGTATCAATAGTTGTACGCTTCATCTTTGATCTCTTCTAATTAATCTGTTTTCCTTCCTCATGTTGATAACAAGTGACAATGCGTTCATTATAGACGAGGGCACGGGAAAGTTATCTAACAGGAAGTAGTAGCCGCGTACCAAGTAAAAATGAATGCATTCAAGATTAGATGAAACTTTTATCACAATGTATTTGTATATATATATATATATATATATATATATATATATCAAGTTTAAAATGACGTGTAGATAAGCTGTTACGCGATAGACGTGTAAGAATAGACGCCATCAGGCAAAGTAAACACAAATGGAAAGAAACCGTTACCTCCTCCAGGGTGACGCCTTTCCAATTCGGGCCATCGTAGCACTGGGGTATATTCGCTTGAGTACCTCCGCACCAGTGACGAGCACCTCTCCACGTAGCACCTCTCTGCACATGCCTGAACTCGGAGAGGTACCTCGCGACCGGGTCCCTTATGATCGTCACGTAAAAGTAGCGGCGTTTAATGCCCTCCCCTTCGATTTTATTCAGCTCCGTGTCTACACAATTTGTCAATTCGGTCCAGTCCGCGTGTAGCCCGCACTTCCAACCAGTGGAGTAGCGCGAGAATAGCCAATTTTCGTTACGATTTGGACGGAAACAGAAGCAACGCTTGCGTCGTCGTTGACATGAACACGGTCTCTGCAACTCCAGATCTCGCACCAGATGCTTGCCAAACAGCGTGCCACCTTTCAACACGAAGCAGATTACGTTAGATTTTTTTCTCATATTATTAAAACGTAGTCTAATCTTACAATTGACGTGATATAAAATAGTGTCTTTAGTAGAGGAAAGTCCCTTATTGTGTGATAGGATTCCAATACGTGATAGCGGGGTTTCTGTTCAATTAATAGGCATTATCAGTTGATTCCACCATGAATTTATTACCCTTGGAGATCCGTTTAGTGGAAAATTCATTGTTCGATCATGTAATTGTTGCGAAAAAAGATTTGCGATTGAATTTGGGTGGTGAAAACCTATCTCATACTAGAGAACTTTTCTCCATGTATATTTCTTATTTACATTAAACAGCAAGATTTGTTGTAAGTTTACTTGTATTGGGTGTTTTGCAAAGTGTTTGATACGCAGTGTATTTTTGAGAGGCGAAAACATTACCTGAATAGCACAAAAATTGACGCGTGTGAAACTTTGTGTAATTTTTGCAAAAATAAAAGTGGCAAACATGTATTAAGGTGCATCTTAATAAAGGAAATTTTTTTAATACAAAGAGAACAAAGGTGCACAGGATATGAGCACGCGGCATACTAAATAATTCTTTGTCAGATAGGGCCTGGGGGTTCAAGCATGTCTGATGAATAATTCAAAAGCCACGGGAAAGTGACAGTGCTTTATTCTTTTATTTCTAAGTGTGCGTATAAAGAAATCCTACTGGAGGCGATAATTGAATGAATATCCTGCACGCGTGATTTCTGACAAATTTTATATTTGTTTGTTGTTAATGAAAGCACCTGACATTCACGTTTCAATTTTTATGCTATTTATGTAATGTTTTTGCCTCTAAAAATACTGCGTGTTAAACACTTGACAAAAAAACCCACAGGTAAAAATATAATAAACTTTGCTGTGTAATTGAAATAAGAAATAATTTCTAACACCTTTAATTTTTTTTAGGTGTAATAGAAAATGAAAAGTGAGTGATAACATGGAGAAATGTTTTATTACCTTTGTTGTAAAAATGCAAATGTTGCAAAGGTCCAAGCAACCGCCGGTACAGCGGTAAGAGGAGGACTTGGTATTTTCTTTGTATACGCAAGCAATAAAGACAAAGACAAGAAACGGTCGGTACATTTACCCGTCTTTTGTATGTGGAGGAAGACCATGACGTCGTGAGCGTTGATGTCAAACTGAAAAGTGTCGTTGGCAAAGACATCGTCGTAGCCCAGGCTACCCTGGATGCTCTGCAGCTTGAAGGCGGGATGCACCGAGAGCAGGCCGTTCCTGTCGAGCTCGATGGAGACGGAAGATAGCGCGGCGGCGGCAGCGGGCGGCCCGGCGGCGACGGACAGGCCCTCGGACAGTCTGATCGACTCCTTCATCTCGCGGCTCGTCAGGGCGCACACATGGTCCGGGCAGAAGTAGCCCAGGTAGACGATCCCGGTGAGCGCGAGGAACAGACATACCCCGACGACGCTGCGCAGACGGTTCCTGCGCGGGTGCCGCGACTCCATCCTCGTCGTCGCGAGCCTCCCGTCGCATATATTCTCCTCTTCCTCCCCCTGGTCCTCCTTCTGCTCCTCCTCCCCGTCACCCTCCGACCGGACGAGCACCTCGAGCTCGCTAGTGGTAGCGTTTATCCCCGTATCGACACCCGCTCGTCTGCCCATTATCGCCACCCATGTCTCGCGCTGCTAGGCACACGTAACTCCACACTGTCTCGACGGAGGACGACGACGACGACGACGACGCACTACCGCGCACCACCGCTGACCACCACCGCCGCTCGCTGACACGATCCGCCCGTAAATACGCTCGCATCGGGCGCATCGGCCATGACAGACAACAAACAAAAATTCACCCCGGACCCCCGCCCCGCGACTCCCGCGAACCGACGAGAGACACAAATTTAATCCGCCGAGGAGTACAGCCGCCGTCTGGACGGCATGTAGAGGGGAATGACTGGCAGGCGAATATTTAACCAGATATCGATTGCGTTCCTAAACTCATTCGCCGCGGTCAGCGGAAAAAGTCACTTCCCAGCCGTTATAAGGCTGGATTCACATGGAGCGTAAGTTGCGTAGCGTAACCTGCGTATCACCAATCACAGGATCATGCTGATAGAACAGTTTCAACAATTCCGTTGAACTAGTCCTGTGATTGGCGATACGCAACTTACGTTCCATGTGAAAGCACCCTAACAATTTTTTGTCCGATTGGCGTATTCCCTTAGTCCCAGTCTACAATAGAGATTTAAGCCCTAAGCCTTTAGAAATTGACTAATCACAGTCGCGCATTCTACTCATACTTGACCGTGATTGGCCAATTTCTTAAAGCTTAGGGCTTAAATCATCTATTGTAGACTGGGACTTAAGCCCGTATCAGACTACAGACTCCCGACAATGATTCAACCAATTAGAGAGGCGTCTATTCTCGAGTCGGCAGTCAGGCCAGTCAGGGCACAGTGTTATACTCCGTAGCCAATGAAATGTTCCATACGGCATCTTTAGATAAATTCAAGACGATCTTGAATATCAGATTCATGAATTTTACAACAGTTGCAAGGCAGCTTTTCCTACCGAATGCAGCAATTGAATATGATCGGTACAAAAATGGAGCGGCAAGTGAATCGGCCAACCGCAGTCCAGAATTGTGGAAAACGCAGTTTCAAATTCTCGGCCGCGATTGGCCGATTGCTGTGACCCCAAGTTTTTGTAGATGCGTTCTTCCCGCCGTTTCGAAGAGAGGCGTTTCCAATATTAATCTTTCGAAGGAAAGAAACAACAGTTTACAAGGCATGCAAATTTAAAAAGCCACGACTTTGCGTCTTGAGATTCTTTTATATTTAAATATATTATTCACAAGTGAAAATAGAATAATATATTAAATAAAATTTAAATATATGTCATGTTTTACAGATGTAAATTTCACAATTTTTCTTACGAACGCAATAAGCTTAACTCTTCCACTTAATGTGCGGTAAACGCGAAGCACTCTCGGCATAAAAATACCCTTCCGATTGAGGCTGTAATGTCGCTTTGTAATCCAGCAGTAACGCGCGATCCCCTTGTTGCACAAATATCTGGAAATGTATAAACGCGTAACTCTACGATTACTCCCTCGTCATCTCTCGCAAAACGTCTACGTACGTCAATTACTGCTGTATGGCAGGACAATTTTTTTGCCAGCTCCAATCGCTTCTCTAGATTATCGACGAACTTGAGGTACTTTTCGAGAACGGCGTGTGGCGCGTTGTATTTGTACAGTACTTTCAAAATATCCTCTGTGTACAAGTGAGTTTGTAGTTTTGTGTTGCCGAGTAGTCCCTAAAACACGATCGATACGACATAATCCTGACGGAACAGACAGACTCGCAAAACAGAACGCGCTACCTTCGTTAAGAGTAAGCGATCGACGTCGTCCCACCCACCGCAGGCGGCCTTAACTTGTAAAGCGACTTTTTGATACAATCTAGGAGAAATGTCATGGTCGCGAGAGAGCGTCGTGGGTGCCATCGTGACGAAATCGTTTGGCGTATTGCAATGGTATTTACACGAATAGCGCAGAGATTCCAAGACAGAGGAATTCAATGCGAGTTCCTCGTCGTTCTTTTTCCGTTTGATCGCCATTTGCCACTCTATAAATTTACGATGTGAATAATACAATTTCCTCACAATGGCGAAGGAGGAAGAGAGTATCGACGTACCCAGCAACTTAATATAGGACTCCAGAAACGTAGTTTCCTTGCAGTCAGGTAGCATCGCGAAAAGCGCCTTGTGACAATTGTCAAGTTTTTGCAGTAGCCTACTTGGGTCTTTGGTGTTCCTTATAATAATATGGAGATTCTTCATCTGTAATCAACCATAGCAAATGAGGTTTCGCGGCTTAACTCGTGCGACACCCGCAGTGACACTTACGGCAGCGGTTGAGGAGTGGCCCAGCATTCTGCGAAATATCGAGCGTGAGAAAGAGATGCCAGAAATAAATCGACTAATCGTGTATCACAGAAGTTACATACGTCAAAATATCAGTTATCTCACTTGTCTGCAGCCTTATAAATAGATAATGTATGTACACGTTCACCGCGTCCGGCCTCTCTGCTAACAGTCGCTGTACCAACGATCGTTTTAAAGTTTTCGTAAGAAACAAAATTATCTGCAAGGTCAAAATCAAATATCACCGAGATCCCTATTTTCTTTTTATTAGCTTGACAGCCAAGGGCCAGTTTCGCAAACGTTGCTTAACTTTAAGCTCAGCTTAATTCGTTCTTTGTCCCTTTCCAACTGTCACTCTAGAAAGAGACAAACATGAATTGAACCAAGACTGAAGTTAAGCGGCGTTTGGTGAAACCAGACCTTAGGCCCGGTTTTACCAACGTTGTTCAACTTTGAGCTTAGCTTAAAGTCCTTTGTCTCTTTCTAAAGTAAAAGTTGGAAAAATACAAAGAACGAATTAAGCTTAAAGTTAAGCGACGTTGGTGAAACCCGGCCTAAGACATCGCAAGACTGTTACTTTATCTACACAAGTACTCCAAGTTCGTACTATCAAAATAGCATTTCCATCTCCATGTAAGATGGCCAGGTCCAACAGGGCAGTTTTGCTAGCGAGAGACTTGTATCGTTCCAACGAGTACGACTGGCCGAGTAATATCTGCCTCAGAGTAACGTCTGGCTGGGCGACAGCTGTCTCGAGATCTTTGGCTGTTGAATGGCTCCTCTCCAATTTGTCATCCGCGTCTAAAACTGCGAGATGTTCCAAGAGATTTTACATTTGAGATGTAATCATTAATGCGAAAAGAATTGCAAGAGGCGTGTTTGTGTTTTTGGCATACTGCGTGAGAGCGTCTTATCAGATATAATTGAGAACAGAGGCTTCGTAGTTTGGGGCTCGTTGCTAGACTGAAGGCCACCTTCGAGACTCGACGTACTGAGAATTCCGGCCCACAGTTTCTCCGTGTCGCTCCTCAGTTCGTCCACCTGCAATCCGATTCTCATATATTTGCCGCCCGCGGCCAGCTCGCAATGCGCTGCGATCATAGCTGATCATAACCTCGCTGTCGAAGCAGAACGACCGCTTCTCGCTGCTGTCCCAGTACTCGTCCTCTTCCTTCGCGGTCATCTTGGATTTTAGGATATCTGCCCAACGTGGAGATTCGCTAACCTAGTCCTCAGGTGACAAACACATGGACGAGGCAAAGTATCCTCCCGACGTTTCCCATGACGCCGATAAGACGTGAATAATTGCGTCCATTCGTATATGACACATACACTAGACCAACCTAAACTGAACATTCGGTCGCGATCAAGCCGCTGCTACAAATGCTTCCAAGTGTTTCTCTTCTCCTTCCATCTATTCTAACAGAAAAGAGAAGAATCCTTCGAAACGTCCCAAGCGACAGCTTGACCGCAGCCTTTATCATATGTAAGGACCTGAGCAGAATGGCTGTCTTATACCCTTAAAACATAAGACAGTTATTTATTATAAAGTTACCTCAAGACGAAGGCTTAAAACATAAAACATTGTCTTAAGGACGTCTTGTACTCTTAAGACAATATTGTGACTTAAGAATATAAGACAGCTACTCTGCTCAGGCCTTAAAGCCAAAAAAGAATCTTACAGATCCTGTAGAAAAACTGTCTGTACTAATAGAAAAGTCTGTCTATTGTTGCGGTGGGAGGGGATTTAGAGACAAGAATTAATCTATTTATCGAGGACATTGCAACTTGCGAGAGCTCTCCTGAATTCGGCCCAACATTTGTCTATGCGTTAACAAACAAGTTAACATTAAGTAATAGATATTATAAGAAAGAAGTAACACATACTAGCATTATTTTAAATAAATTATATAATTTACATAAGTGAAAAATAGATGTGAATGTTGACAAACATATAAAATGAATTAGGAAGTAAATAATAGTGGGATAATTACAAGGTTCAGTCCTAGCCTACGGGTGGATACAAGAACAGATCGATCGTTTAAATGAATATCTATAGATCTATGGCAAAAGAACGTGGTTGTTTCGTTAACTGCAGAGAAAAAGGGTACACAGCTGTACATTTTGGCACCAGATTAGAAAAAATATTCGATATATTATTTATAGTATAAAAGGAGTCTCGTATGGAAGAGCATATAAAAGTGAAGCTATTTTCAAATCTGTTTAATCTCGCCGCTGCAATGCGGGCAGCATGCCATGTTGTTCGGGTCGCATCGTGGAAGAAACATCTGCCCGCCGACCGCGACCGCCGCCCCCATCACCGCGGTACAGGCGACGTCCTCTCTCCCGGTCATGGGTAATTTTTGATTCATCAGCAACTGCAATTCAGATGTCAATTCGTTGGACAGAAAGACATTTTCGTGGTGAGAAGTTTAAGGACCGAGCAGCCCTACTTTCTCCGCGTTGTTCTCCGCGAGCGTTTTCATGTCCAGGCCGGTTATATTCAGCTCTCTCCGCAATTCCGAGTCCGGGACGCCGCTCAGGAGACTGACTCTCAGAATTTCCGCGAGTTGGCAACACCCCTGGGCGAGATCGACGATATTAGTGCTGGCTAATTCGTGCCTCTTGCCGGACGTTGTTCCTATGGAATCGAACTTTTCTCGCAGGATCGTGAGCATCCTGAAAGAATTGCTCATCAATTTGCTAAAGTTATACAAGTACAGCGTAGACTAGTATGCACCTGCAAAATATTATATATAGAGGACAATCCCCTACTATGAGAGAGGCTTCTGATACGAGATAGCAGGTTTCAACATCCAAATTCACTCATAATCTTCTTTCGCGGCGATTACACAATCCAACAACGAATTTTCCACTAAACAGTCTCGCTCCAAGGGCAATAAATTCATGATGGAACCATATAGAACCATAGTAGAAACCCCACTGTCTCAGTCTCGTATTAGGAGCCGGCCTCATAATAGGGGACTTTCCTCTACCTGTATGTCTTGAGCGACGTATCACGAATATTATTATGCTCTTCCAACAGTCGTTTTATAGTCTCCTGCAGTTCCGTCGTTCGCTGGCAGAGCGCGGCTTTCCATCTCGCCAGATCCTCCACCATTAGGCTGCAATGAGCTTCGTTTAGCGGCAAATCAGAGTAGTTACCACATTTTTTAAGTTAAAATTTTACAAAAAGAAAAATAGATGTGATGCAAACCGAAAGCAAAAGTTGCAAAAATCCCGAGCGCCTCGGAAGTGACTGTCAATTACCTACTAGCTAAAAATTTACTTCTCCACACTTCACATTGGCCCGCTAGCCATTCCGTCTGTTCTTGATGCGTGGACAAGTGTTGGGCCGAATTCAGGAGGGCTCTCGCAAGTTGCAATTTGTCCTCGGTTAACAGATGAACTCTTGTCTCTAGGTCCTCACCCACCGCAGCAACCAACAGATTTTTCAATTCTCCATTGACCTGTGCGCATATACACATATATATTTTTTTCCCTCGGCATAAACTAAACACTGCGATAAATTTCGTTGTTAATATACAACCGTTTTACCTGCGCTTGAAATTTTAATTGAGTTTCAAGCTGACTGTTCTCTTCTTTCAGCTTGCGGATCTCAGCCTCACGCGCCTTCTTCTCATTGTTCCACTCGTCTTCCGATGTCTTCTCCTTGCTCTCCGTCACACACTCCTTCAACCTCGTGTCGCTGTCCTGAATCTTCATTGCAGCAATTTGCGCAACTGCTGCGTTCATGCTAGACTTTCTCTTAGGTAATTTGTTCTTTTTTTCAAACGGCACTATCGGATTAACGGCCGCCTTGTAGGGCTCGTACGGTACAAATTTTGGCTCTTTCGATTTTAAGGAGTGCAAGATATGTTTCTCCTGCTTCGCGTTACTTATACTCTTTGGCACCAGGTTAACTATTGTACCAATAGGAGTGACCGGAGCTGTCGATCCCGATTGCTTCAGATTTGTGGGGTGGTAAATAAGGGTGTCCCCCAAACGACTTCGGCTCTGCTTAATCTCGGCCTTGTCCGCAGTCGCATTCTCCATGCCATCGCCTTGCGTTCGCTCGACGCAGCCCATCATGTGGACATCTTGAAGGATAAACAGCCGTTAATCGACATGTAAAAGTTGCATCTACACGTCGCTGATATGCAACCGAAAAATGTTTTTCATTTTTGTTACTGTTGACATTATTATCTATATTTTCTTATGGTCAACATTAACGATTTACATCGCATTATTTACAATGACAAACAGTTTGTAACTCGCAGCAAGATGGACAGGACTAACCTGGCTGACAGTGAACGCTGTGTTTCTTGAGACTTGTAGAAATATTCATGTTGGGCAGTGTAAACAATTATCGCAGATACTTCAATGACACGTCGCGCGGACAATATTTACATTTTACGCGAGAACGATGTGGTGTAAATAGGTTTTTCATGTCAATGGTAGTCACATATGTTAAAAAAGGGGAGGAGGTTAGCACTAGCTGTCAATGCTGTCATGTGACACGTGACAACGCTGGACGATGCTGCCACCTGTTTCATGAAAGCAGAAGTACGGTTTACATTGACAGTCGGTAATATCAATGCTCTTTCTTTCGGACTCCGTCGATGCATAAAAATTCGTCATGCCCTTTCTACACCTATAGGTGTAGAAAGGGCATCAACTTCATACATATGTATAAATTACATAATTGATTTTAACACAATTGATGTTGATATACTTCATGTGTATAAAAAATATTAAATTTGATAATTTGAAGTCATTATGGGACCGAGCAAAAAGATACAAGTGCAAACAATTAAGAGGGCGCAATAAAAGTAAGACGGACAGTAATAAGAGTGAAGGCCTTCACACATAAAATTCCGTAAGGACATAAAACGTAAGCATAAGAAAATCGACCAATCACAGTCGAGAACGTAAGGCAATAACGCAAGCAGTAGCAAATCCAATCTGTTGATTTTCTTAGGGTGGAGTCCCATGGAGCGGAATACGCGGAAGCGGAATCAGCGGATCGCCAATCACAAGACCGTTTCGACAGAATTTTTGAAAGGGCTCTATCAGAATAATCTTGCGATTGGCGATCCGCTGATTCCGCTTCCGCGTATTCCGCTCCATGGGACTCCACCCTTATGCTTACGTTTTACGAAATTTTATGTCTGAAGGCAAAGATCATGTACACGCACCGCCGCCATATGTTCTGAGAGGTGTCATGACTGAAATCGGATATTCTGAGAATTAAGGCCTTTGAACGTAAAAAAGCATTAACCGTAACCGTAATTTTAGTCCATAACCTATGGAACCTACGTAATTTTAGTCCGTAACCTTCGGAATTTTACTTGGGTTGCTCCATCTGTCTGTAGGTGTTGAAAACTACGATTACTGACTAAAATTACGGTTACGCTTAACGCTTTTTTACGTGCAAAGGCCTTTACAGTTTTTTTTACCAAGAGTTACCGATCTAGTGTAGTACAGACATCTGTAAATGGAACCAGGGGTGCTTTCGCGACGTAGATCAAAATGATCCGTGCTATGATTGGTCAAATCTGGAATTTCATTGAATAAAATTTCAATGTGATGCTACGAAATTTCAGATTTGACCAATCATAGCACGGATCATTTTGACCTACGTCGCGAAAGCACCCCTGAGAAGAACCTGAGGAACCTGAGAGCGGCCACGCCGGCGTTTTAAGGTGCCTTTTCATGGGCGTCAAGACGATTTTGTGACGTCACGTTAGCTCTCAATAGGTTTGTTTTCTGTTCCTGCACTGGTCAACTAGTGCAGTAAGCTAGAATGAAAAAGAGTATGCTTGTCTCACTCTAATTTATTGTACTAGTTCACCAGTGTAGCAGCAGAAGACAAGTTTCGTTTCAGAAGACTGTTTTGCGCGCCCTTACGCCCACTTTTACTTTTCCAACTATTTCATTACGCATTTTCCGAGTCTGCCGATAAAATTTCCACTTGGTGCGTGTTTGTGCCATGCATTCCGGCATGTAATTTATACAATTTACATTGCCCGCATGAAAAAAGTTGATACAATCATCACGTAGCTAATTTATGCTGATGTAATTTGGAAATTTGCAGTACAGTCTTGAAAAATAGGCGTAGGACGGACACGCGCAAAGGGAAAATCGGCAGTGTCGGAAGATGCGGAAAATAGTTTGGGAAAAAAAAATGAGCGTAAGGACCCGCGAGACAGTTTCGTGACACGGTATCAAGTGAAACGCCCGGCGTGGCCCGCGCTCTCAGGTTTCTCCCTGGATTGAACTCGACTGCGGCTCATCGTAAATACGCGCGGCGATTACGGGGCTCTCGCCTGTAAGTGGCGCCACCTGGCCGGCGTGAACTTACCTACGCGAACTACGTCGCCGTTGATTGAACCCGCGAGGGAGATCAGCTGATCGCCACGTTTACGTGAGAGAATCAGCTGTGCGCAACCATGGACGAGCTGGCGAGCGAGGATCTCGAGATACCGCCTGTCAAATACGAATGTGAGCATCGATCGCGCCTGTTCTCTCGGCTGTCGCCACCCCGTTCGCTTCTCTCGCAAAAGTATCTCGGTCTGACAGCGTGATACTCGGCGCGTCCTCGCGCGACGCATCCTAACCTCGTTCTCGCCTAACGCGGCTGACGCCAAGTTCGACGCCGATCTTCCTCGCGATCCTGGGCCTGGAAATGTTTACGGGACGATCCCTTGCTTTCTGTTACAGATTTGGATCACACCGCGGACGTGCAGTAAGTATCACATTCAGCGGCGCCGACCGGCTCCGTTTTGGAGGTTACTCGGCCGGCTAACCTAAAAGGGCGCGCGAAAAGGACGCTGAAGAAACGGAGTCTCGTAATTGTCATTTGTGTCGCAGATTGCACGCCTGGGGCGAGACCCTGGACGAGGCTTTCGAGCAGTGCGCGATGGCCATGTTCGGGTACATGACGGACCTCGAACGCGTGCAGATGACGCAGGTGCATCACATCGAGGCAGACGGTCACGACATGGAGAGCCTGCTCTTCCACTTTCTCGACGAGCTGCTCTTCATGTTCAGCGCCGAGCCGTACATAGTCGCCAAGGTATAATTTCGTGCCAATTTATTTGAGACAGGCGCACGTTATGGAGTACATACTTATACGCGTCAAAGTTTATCCGTACGCATTTACATTTTACACAAAACAACGCAACCTTTTGTCGCTTGTTCAAAGTCTTTGGTTTTTTAAATCTTTTATCGACAGTGATATTTTTATTCCCCACGAGGATTTATATGTACGTCTCGCATGGATTCGTAAATAATATATGTACATTACTTTGCGTTAACTGTACACGCATATAAAAACGTCAAATGGCTCGCCTTCGGTCGAGTCGCAGGAGAGTTTTCGAGTCCGCGTCCACGGAGCCGGGAGTGAAAGACATCCGCGCTTTTCTGTCACCAGAAAGTCAAGATCACCGAGTTCGATCGGCAGGGGTTTAGGATCAAGGCGACCGCCTACGGCGAGGAGTTCACCATTGGCAAACACACGCAGGGGGCGGAGGTAAAGGCCATCACGTACTCGGCGATGCAGATCAACGAACGCCCGCGGGTGGACCGGCCCGAGATCTTCGTGATCGTTGATATATGATGTAACCCCCGTCCCCCGATCGCGATGCGCTCGTACCCTAACGATATTTCGCCGCGCAACTTTCTGACAACCGTGGAGGGGGGGGGGGAAGAATAGCAAGAAAAAGGGGGATGCCTTGGCGCGAGCAGGAGGGGTTGGAGAAAAAAGTAGGAGGAGGCGGCCGAAGGGCAAGAAGGGAACCGTATGCCTCCCCTACGGTCTACATAGGCTGCGATCCTTTTGTACTTGCCCCCGTAGGGTTCAAATAAATACGTTACGAAGAATGCACCGGGCCCCCCTTCTTCTTGGCTCGACTTGACTCAGGCGTGTACCAAGGTTACCCGGTTTCCTGGGAAAAGTCCGCGTAAAGCGATCTACTTGGTCCTCGGACGGTCGTTTGTAACGAGAATGCGTTATCGTGGATTATATATTTTTTTTACTCAGCCTTGCTAGTTGACGGACAAGCGTGATTGGATACAGCAGCGCCCTTCTTCGGGGTAGCTGTTCTCCCTCAGGGTTGTTTTCTCACCGCAGGTATCGTGCGAGAAAAGTGTAGAGGATGATATCGCAGCGTGATTTGATTCCTCGCGTTATTAAAAGACCATTCGAGCTAGTTCAAAGTTCATTAATGTTTGCAATACATATTTCCGACTTATGCTTACCGTATGTATGCGCGATTACGTGTCACTTATCAGCGGCAAAATAAAAATTAATCAACTTTGAAGACTGCCTGGCTGAATCTGACGCTGTGGGGCGGGAAGGTGGCAGCGCCAGACAGCGTCTTTTTTAAATATCCAGCGAAATTTACGCGTCTCAAATTTCCACGAAACAATCGTCCAATAGAGGCGCACGTTCTATCGCTTCTGGCACGCGTGTATTTTTGTCATCTCGAGAAACCGGTCCGGTCTGGGAAAATGTAGCGCGTTATTTGCACGGTAGTCCCGCCATGCTCTCCCGCGAGAGAGCAGACTCCTCGGCGAGAGCGGCGTCATCCCCGCGCGTGGTCTCGCCCATCGATTTTCCCGTCGTTTTCTCCGTTCTCTCGGCCGGGAGGGGCCCGCTCGCCTGCCGTCCCGCTACATCCCTGCGGTCGAATGCCCCTCCATTCGCGAAGGAAGGGACGATCGTACGCGCGCCTACCGCCGAGCGGCTCGCCGCGTTTCGGGCGCGAGCGGGCATCAGTGTCCGGCAGGATCGTCGAAGGCGCGTGTGCGCGCCGCACGTACGCGCTCGCACGGCCGTTTGGTACAAATTAATACGTCACTAAATTGCATAATTGGCGAGTGTACCGCCTGCGTAACGTCGTCCGTCGCGCCCCTCCGTCCCCGCCGGGCGCCGGATTCTCTCGCCGAGCGGCGCGNGNGCCCCCGGATTAAA